TCCACCTGACTAAAGAGCTTTCATGGCTCAGGGATTCTTCCGAACGCACTTCTTTGAGGGATGAATTAGATTTGCACATAAACATTACAGCAGACGCGTTTCTAACTTTGCACCGGCACTGCTCCCCCCCCCACCTTCTTTAGAATCATCTTCCCTAACCTGGAACCCTCCAGCTGCAATGGGACTACAACTCCCAGAATTCTCAGCCCCCTTTTGGCCAAGCTGGCTGAAATTCTGGGAGCAGGCCGTCCCAACAAATCCGGAGATGCAGACGGTTTCAGAAGGATGGAATAAGCTGGATGAGAAAGCTGCATGTCCACCATTATCCAGCGCCCCTGACAGCTTCCCCCTCCCAGGATCCTTTGCAACGTGCAGGGATTCCTTGGCAGACATGCTGGTGTTGCCTTGACAAAGAAAACAACGTGGAAGGAAGTCTCTCCATTTAGGAACTCGGACTCTATTGTAATAAGCCAGGGCAGTCCTTTCTTCTTAGCAGAGGGAAGAAAACTAAATGTTTGTCTTCTCTTAGGACAGTGATTCATTAAACAACACCCTCAGGGCTCCATATCAGTGTTTCTCAACCTTAGCAGCTTTACGATGGGTGGACTTCAACTCCCAGAATTCTGGAAGTTGAAGCCCACCCATCTTAAAGTTGCTAAGGTTGAAAAATACTGCTCCAGAGGCCACTGCTCAGGCTGTTTTCTGAGAACCTTGGAAGTTGCTACATAAATTGTTCAAAGCCAAGCAAATGTTTACTGCTGAGTTCCTCCCGCTGCCATTCAACACACTTTGGCAACTATAACTGCTTCTCTGTTTTCTTCTTGTTCTTCCCTGGCCTCGTTTGACATCAGCGGACTGAGAACAATGCCCTTTCTCATTGTAATGCTCTTGTTGACCAGCACGGGAACATCGAGGAAAAGCTTAATATTCAAGGAGGACACTATGAGAGTCATTGATATGCCATGTTTCCAGAAGAGTGCATGTTGATCAACTTGTAACATTCTGGTTTGCTGAACATTTCTAGTCCTTCTGATAATCAAGATACACTTGAAAAATACACTTGGGGGTTGCGGGGGGGATACCATGGACTCCAGTACATTGAAATGGATCCACTTTAACTAAGTGTATATAGGAAGGGAAAGGACAATTCTGGAAACAGTTTCAGAGAGGATTCATCCTCAACCCATGATTGTTTCTTGGTGTAAAACAATATACACTAACTAGGTTGTAGACACGATAGGAGAGCTGGTTAGTCTACGGTGGCAAAAAAAATCAGGAGCCCAGTAACACCTTTTCCAATTAACAAGTTTTTTTAAAAAAAATGTGTTGCAGCTCACAAAAGCTTATGCCTTTTAATACATTTTGTTAGGTAGAAAAGGTGCTACCACACTCCTGATTTTTTTGCCACAAGTAGATTGGAATCTTTTGCAATCCCAATCTTGTAAAATACCCAAGAGGAATTATGGTGGCCATAGAAGTCAAACATCTCTTAATCCATCAATTAATTCAACAAATGAATGAACCCCTACCATACTTATAAAGATGGAGAACCTCTAAACCAACTTTCCCAAAGCTGGCACCCTTTAAGTCAGTGTCTCTCAACCTCAGCAACTTTAAGATGTATAGACCTGAATTCCCAGAACTGAAGTCCACACACCTTAAAGTTGATGAGGTTGAGAAACCCTGCTCCAAGCGATCTGGTTGGGTGGGGAGGACAAAGGAACCATAGTCTCCATGTTGGGAGGGAGCCAGAATGGAGAAAGCCATTCCCTCAAAAAAGTCACTTGAGGCAGGAAGTGTTTTGCTTCCTCCCTCGCCCATGATGAGCAACAGTAAGCAGTAGCTTTGCACAATGTTGCTAAGCACCTCCCTTGGTTAGGCATAAGAGGCCAGGAAGGGCTGCCCTTACATGGAAGACCAGCTCATCTGTTGACTTACAAGAACAGCTAGCAAAAGGAAATTTGCAAGGCCCTGGGGCAATTTGTTCCATTACCCAACTAGTCTTACTCCCTTTTCACTCCTTTATTATTCCAGACTAATGTACTTGCCCATGGTGGAAACACAGTCTTTCTCATTTTCTCACAGGAAATAATTAAACAACAGAAAGGCATTAGTTTCCTAAAGAGGTGTAACATAGTCTTAGCTCACTGGCTGCTGTTTAAGGAAGACTGCAAAGTTCAGTTCTTGAAGGCACTTGCCTTAATTTATTTTATTCATTTATTATGAATAACAAATATATCCAACTCCCTGCCTTTCCCCAAGGGGTTTAAGGTGGTGTACACAACAGTCCATCCTCCAATGTTTCTCGCAGCAAACTTGTGGAGCTAAGTTGGGCTGAGAGATAGTGACTGGTTTTAAGTGACCTGGGGGGCTTCTGTCTTTGCGGGAGGACTAGAACCTGGTCCCCCAAGTCCAACAGTTTAGGTACTGCACTGCATAAATGCAGTATATTGACAGTCTGCCTCTTTTCCATAATGAAAAGCAAAGTCACATATACAAGTTGACCAAACGATTCCTGAAGCATAGTAGCTGCCTCCACTTGGGATACAGATATTTCTTCACATGGCTGGCTGGGGAATTCTGGGAGTTGAAGTCCACTCATCTTAAAGTGGCCAAGGTTGAGAAACACTGCTCTAGAGGGGTCTCAATTTAAAAGGTGGGTTCTGAAATCAGACTACAACTTTTATAGTAAGAAGGACCAAGTGTTTGAAGATAACAAGAGAATATATCTACAAACAGCTTACACAAATCTTTTAAGATACACTGATTTTATTCTTTATAGAATTAGCTGTAGACTTCTGCCTGCATGGTTTTCTTTCTAACATTAGAACCTTTTTTAAAAATGAAAGTTAGACAGTAAAACCTTGATTTTATGGACATATCATTCAGTGTACTTTGGACACAGCAGACAAAATCTGAATATGCATTCATTTCTTAAACAATAGATAAAGTCTGTGTAAAGTTTGTGCAGTTTTTTACATAAATTACATAATTTACATTAAAAATGTGTACAAATTATGTAGTTAAATACATTCAAATCTAACAGGCACCCTTTTTCCCAATTGGTTCATAAAATCAAGGCTTTATAGTACAGTATATACTTTCAGGAAGAAGCACCAACATTTCCTTGAAGAGAACGAGGACTCCAGCACTTGACTAAGCCCTAAGATAAATTATAAATAAATAAATATCTTGCAAACCATGGTTTTCCTTTCACAATTAATTAGTGCAATGGAATAACTAAAATCTGAGCAGGGACCATAGTCAAGCACTCACAAGAGTCTCCAAAAACATCAGGAATATGGGGATGAAGCATTAGGGTAGTTTACAAAGTTGTTACAAGAATTAATGAAACATTCACCACAAAGTCCTTTGAATGCTCAAATAATGCTGTATATATGCATGCCTATTTTTCTCCCACTCTTCAGTCCAAAACAGATTTCTTTAATTTGTGATCCACCAACCCAAATCAGTCCTCTCTGCTCACAAGGATCTCTGCTTTTACAATTGCAACTTGGCAGCAAGCATAGGAAATGTCCCAAAGCAGTGGTACAAGGGATCCCATTAGAATACGGGTAGAAACACAGTCTTGACTCGAGTGAATGAGCAGGAGAGTTCCAGATATAACAGAGTTGTTTCCTCAATTTGAAATAAATTAAATAAAACGTATTACCATTTGAGTTCTCCCCTTCCCCATACATTTTAATTACAGTATTTCAACTTACAACAGATTGCAAAGTTGTACAGGCTATTGAACAGATGTTACTTTTTGCAGAGTCAGAATTTTTCATTGCCAATCTTTATTCATTTATTTATCTGACTTCCCGAGCATTCTCCTATTCTGGCACAGCCAGGCCAGGCCAGTTTTCCTTTAGTATCATCAATATGCCACAAAACAATTCAGGTAGCTATGTAGTATAAAAAAAAAAATGAGGAGGACTAATCACCTTTGTGGATGTCTTTGTAAGGCTCCCAGCTCTCGGTGGAGCATTTAGCCTAACATCTGTACCCCCTAGCAAAGCCAGGAAAAAAAATTCAGAGAAATCAGTGATGATTTCATTGCTTCCTTGAACTGAGGGGAAATTCTAAAACAACCCATTCCTATTCACTTTTCCATGAATGGGGATCCTTCAGCCCTCCAGATACTGCTTAATTACAACTCATAGCAACTTTATCGTTGACCAGAGTTATGGTTTAGCAACATTTGAACAGTGCAGGCTCCTCACTCCGGCTCTTTTGTCATGGATGAAAGCTACGGAATTAAATCCAGGACAGGGTGCACACTGACATGCCATGGACCAAGGGGCAGGAAGGCAAAGGAGCCGATAACGAATCCACCCAAAGATGCCTGGGACTGAACCTGAGGCCTCCAGCATGCCAAGTAGGAGCTTAGCCCTTCTCAGCTGTTTGCTCAGGGAAGCCCATGGAGTCCAAAGTTCAAGGCTCCCCCAGAAACCTTGCCGGGAGGAGACAGGGCGCTGCTACAACAACACAGAACTCCACCATCACGCCTCCCTGCACAACTCTGCCCCAAGTCTGGCAAACTTTCCTCCTTTGCCATTGGTAGGAGGAATCCCTCGCTTGTCCACAAGGCAGGGAGGGGCACAATCCGAAGTTTGGGGAGACTGGAGAAAAACATGCCTGTGTGCAGAGAAGAGGCAGGTACCTTAACTCCTCAAGGGGGGCTGGCTGGCAGTGGGGCTGCCGTATGCCTGAGGATGCGGGGGCAGGAAAGCTAAGCCAGCAGTCTAGTGACTCGGTGGCTACTAGTACTGCGCTCCACTGGGCGGCCAAATATAGTGGAGTTCAATATCCCGCTGAGCGGAACTACAGATCTGAGGAGGA